ACCTCCGTGGACGAGTGGTTTGTACGCCGGGTTTTACGGTGTCACCGACTCCAGAGGTCCCGGGTTCGAATCCCGGTGGGGACAGATGTTTGTGTGATGAATACGAGCATTTGTACTCCAGTCATGAATGTGTAATATGTATTTCTATATATATATACTTATAAATGTACTGTATATGTATTCTATCCGTTACCCTAGTATCCCATAATACAATTGTACAGTGATTACGGCTAGGCTAATTGGGGTGTGTTAGTAATATTTATTTACTCACCCATATTAGGTCCCAGTTGGTGCAGATCGGAGCGCATCTCCTCATCAGGCGTGAGGGGATCAGCTCGCAATGAGCCCAGAACACCGCTCACGTGCTCCATGTCCTAATGAAACCATCATAAGTTGATACCTCATTGTATTTGCAAAAACAAGGTCAAACCCATAACTTTAACACGACATTTAAGAACAAGCTTGCCGTTCCATGTTTTAGACTCTAAAAATCAAGAGGTTCATTTCTGGGATGTAGTATTGTACTGTTTAATAAAGTTCCCCAAGATCTGATTGAGCTTCCACTGACCAAATTCAAATTTCAGGTAAAGAATATTTTTATGAATAAGGGCTATTGTAAAATTAATGATTATCTTAATCATCGTAATGCATGGGCAATTCGGCATAGTGTTTCTTGTAATTTAATGTATATTAGTTATTTTTCATAACAGCAATGTGCAGGGCCGTTTTTAACCTATCGGAGGCCCTGGGCACTTTGTGTTTGATCTGAGGGAGGCCCCTATCGATCGCGGGGCCCTGGGAGTGCCCACTGGGAAAGAGGGGTCTGGCAATGCAGTATCTGAAGCCGAAGCCTCCCCTCCCCCCCCCCACCACCTTTAAGCCTGCAGCGCCCACAAGGGGGCGTCATCGCCTACTTTGGAAAAGGCCGGGTTAGAGAGTTACGCTTCCATATAATTTCTAATCCGTTACATACATATTCCATACATAAAATAGAAAAATAATCGTACCTTCTTGACCAGCGCACATTCTCTAGCCAACTGGTCCAACTGGTGGTGTTTATGCGCGTGGAGATGCCTCAGAAACGCCAACAAGAGTCTATGATGAGCCGCGCTGGAATCCGCCTTCAATAGGCGGCGACGGCGGGACAACACTTCGAGCAGTCTCTCCACGTCGGCTAGAGCGAGGTGGCGCGCCTCTGCGGCCACCAGCGCCCTCACCCGCGCCCCCTCCGCGCTCCCGTCCCCCCCGCCCCCGCCCCCCCCCGCCGGGGCCCGCCCCCGCCCCCGCCCCCGCCCCCGCCCCCAGCGAGCCCGACTCCAGCCCCGGGGCCCCCCCGCTGCACCCTGAGGCCCGCCCTGACCGTAGGCGGCGTTTGGCCACCTGATATAAACGACAAAAGTGTGTAAGTTTCCGCTATCTGTAAAATCAGTTTCGTTCGATTCATACAGAACTGGCAAATTAGATTGTTCAGATATTACTTAACATAATGTTGATTATATGTTCCATGAATAACTAGTCGTTTTAAAATAACAATAAATGTTAATTATATAGGTATCGTTCTCTAAACTTAAAATTGAATTTCACGACAAGTTCCAGTGTAGAGCATGATATATTTAGGGCTATTTAGTTTTGGGTTTAGAAAACCGCGCCATATCAGAATCAGGCCGTGAATGAAATCTATTATTGAATGTCAAAACGATTATACCATCTGAACGATTATATGTTTATGTGATAATCGTTTGTATTCAATGTGTATAAGTCGTTTTAAAATTTCATAAATCTGTAACTGTTGTGTTTGTCATTGTGTCGTCCATAACCTTTTTATATAACCCTTTTAGGTCACTCAACCGGCCAATAGTGGAAGATGCGTTGGCAGAATTGTCTAAGGAGACAACAGCCAGCCTTTACAAAAAATAGAATAGAATAGAAAATTTCATAATCTTACCAACTCATTGAGTAAAAAGTTGGGGAATATGTGTTCCCGAGAAGCCAGCGCAGCCCCACATTTGGGGCAGCGTCGGTGCAGCTCGACCGCCTTGGCAATGCACGCGTAGCAGAACGAGTGCCCGCAGCGGGTCACGTATGCTTCTTCGATCAGCTCAAAGCATACGGGACAGAGGAGGTCGCACTCCTGTGGGAAAATTTTGTATTTTATATCCGTGCTATATAATTTCAATTAAAAATGGCATAAATTATAATTGTATAATAAAAATAACATAATTTGTATAATTAAAATAACTATTGGCTGAAAATTTAGGACATTAGAACTTTTTGGTTGATTTGTCAAAGAGTTCATACTTCTACACAGGTTTCATGTAAGGTGACAAGTTGATGTGAGTTGATAAAGGACCTTTCCTATCTATTGAATCCCCATGTATAAGCAAATTTTGTCTGTCTATGTGTTGTTACAGATACTCGATGAGCTGCAGTCGACATACTGCACAACATCAACGAAATCGTACAGGCTCAACATATACCTTGTCTCCTTTAATCCAGCCAGTCACCAGGATCCTACGAAACCCGTTCTGGGAGGCGAGGAAGCACTGTTGGGTTTTTAGTGGGTAGCCCCCCCCCCCCCCCCCCCCCCCCGTCCTGAGCAGCCGCTGAACCAGTATAGCTGAGCGGGTAGGCGGGATTTGGGGGGAGGAGGAGTCCCACATAACCCTGCCTCTCCCTGCCTTGACGCATACCCAGGAGCGGGGTATGCGTCAAGCATTTTCCCAACAATAAAAAAAAGGCAAGATATTAATAATTCATGATCATCAAAGTTTAGTTTTAGTAGTAGCTTTAGTAATTTATTCGAATCAAAAAGCAAGTCATAGCATCACGTTTCATCTAAGGAAATTGGCATTCTGAGTACAACACTTTGTTACAATAATACTGGCTATGTCAGGGCAACAGAAGCAATACTAACCTTGTCCTCAAGTGAGCCACCGAGCCCGCCCAGAGCTACTGCCACAGAACTGCCCGAAGCACCGGCCCCACTCCCTGACGCACCGCCCGACATGATTGCACCTTGCAACATTATTACATGCTTACATTTAAACATACTGCTCAAATGAATATTCTATTCAATAATTGGTATGTAAAGTTTTAACTGTTCAAGTCCAATTTTTGGAAAAACCTAAGTATTATAATTGTAAGACATTATTACTGTTGTATTAGTTAGTTTTGCAATTAACAAACAATTAATTTGAAACAGTAATGGTGTTTATCTAATGATTAAAGTTTTGTGTTCCAAAGTACAGGCTGATAGCATATGCATTATATTTGTTTATTCAAATTGAGATATGTAGAAGCTGAGTAGCTTGCAGTCACAGTAACTTTTACAAATATATAAACAGTATTGCAGAAAAATTAACTGTTTTTTTTTATGTTTTAAATACATATTTTTTACTGCTTTTAGCATTATATTAGACATTACAATGATGACCCACCTTGACACTGAACACTCGTACCAGTGTTATGGTGGGGAAATTTCTTTTCCAACCTTCGCACGGCCCAACTTTTAAAGTTTAGTGTGAAGGTGAGTTGGCTGTCCCAGTGTTAATCATATTTATTTTATTTTATGTTTTCACGCACACCAATCATTAAATAAAAGCACTGAATGAGTTATATTTATTTTTGTAACATTTAACTGCTAGATGTTTTAATCTAAAGAAAATTTTACTAGAAAAAATTCCATGCGGGCCAGGCAGAAGACAGGACTCAAATCTGCACCCTTAGCTCTCTGGGCGAATGCACTGACCTTGATATTGTGAATTACCTATAATGCAAAGAGATGGCGCTGCCTTGCAGCTTAAGAAACACTAGAAAAAATTCGACACGGCCATCAGGGCCGCAGTAGCATAACGGTCAGTGCACTTTGTATGAGTTATATGTTGTAATATATAGAGGCATGGCCCTCTTAGCCCAAGGATAAATAAGACTACCTAGACCTAGCCGCCTTGAAAACAGTATTTTGCATTATGTTCAACAGTAAAAAGTATAATGTAGTGAAAAACAGTATAATACTGTTTTTAACAGGCTAGTTGGGAACCATATCCACAAGGTTGACCTAAACAATGAAAAATGTAGGGAATATTTTCAGTAAGCAACTTAGTTTAACCTACTTGTTTACACATCAGTTACCTCCATGAACAGGTGTGTATTTATAGTCTACCTAGCACAGCTACCTATTGATCTACATGCAATCTCATTACTTCTGCCCTGAAAACTTAATGATGTATGTAGGATGTTGTTTAGAAAGAATAAGTGTATTCTTACAGGTTATAAGTCCGAGTAGTTAAAGAGGAATTCGTAGCAGCATAATGACGATACAAACAAGTTATAATTCTTCAAATATTCAAGTCTCTTCTATTCTGACCATGCACTGCACATCAAGCAACTCCGCCCAAAGCACAGCTTGTTTTCATAACACGGTACTTAATCTCCACACTATTATTAGCGTCGAATGCAGCAAAATTGTCCATAAATGCTCTGTTCTACTAAAACCCATCATTTATCGGCATATTTTTGGATTTACAAACGATACAACTCGTAGAAGATAAAATTGACATTTGATAGAAAATGTTGCTAGTTCAATCAAGTATTTCACTAAAAGAAAAAATCACTGAAATAGCACAGAGGACATAAAAAAAAATTGTGAATTACTGTCCATTTTACTACGAACAGCATAGGGTTAGGGCTTTCAAAAATCAAATGATTAGAAATTATTTTAAATATGAATAAATCACACATTACTTTTAAATTATTTATCAATCAAAGAAGAGTTATGTATGCGACATCTAGCGGTGATATACTAAACTTGTAAGTTACCTGTTTTATCAACTTGGTATAGTGCTGTGCTGTTGTACCGACAGTGCATACGCCATCTTGCTATTTCAGGAAAGTGCATTATCTTTCGTCAACAATGTCCGGTGAAGTGAAATGTTTGCTGATTTTTGACAGTGTTAGTGATGTGTAAGTGTAATTAAACTTTGCTGAAAAATTCTAGGATAATGGATGAGCAGAACGAGGCGTTCAGGGTCATTCCTGGTGAGTCTAGAACCATAAAATCCAGCTTCAAATTTTACATGTCCTAGTACCGAGGTCGTACTAATGGTAGCTTTCCCGGTTACAGAGCTCTACTTTCTGATAGCGAAATTTCTCTCGGGTGGACCCCTGAAGGAGACTGCAAAGGTAAAAACGATAGAAAAAGATTCGTATTATATTTTAGTTGTGATAAAAATAGTCAAAACACATTTTTCTGTTACAGACTTTACTAAAAGAGCTCCGGAGCGTAGAAGTAAGTTTGTGCTTTTCCTAGTGCCGGGTTCGAGCTTATTGTTGTTTTGGTCGCTATCGCACGTGGTTACGACTGTCAAACTTCCTGAAAGTTTGCTGAAAAGTTTTTGTGCGATTCGCTTTGTTGCAGGTGCTACCCCGGCGGCTCGACTGGGAGGGCAACGAGCACACCCAATCCTACGAGGAATTAGTGAGTTTATACAATTTTTACTAAAATTATAGTGATTATTTACGTTTTTTAACAAGTTTTGCGATCTGAAATAGTGAAATTGCAAGAAAACGATGAAAATTCTTAAAACGTAGCATACATAGAAATTATCATGAAAATGTGATGGAAATACGTGGAAAATATTTTGGCGATGTTTATGTTAGAAATTGGGACATTTTCAAAGATTTGCGAAAATAATGTTATATCATGCAATAGAAAGATGAGGTGTTAGCGTAATTAGATTGTGGCTATCTCGTTTTGGCGCATTCTGTAGCCGTGGCTACGCGTGCTCCGTCTCACTCGCGCGTTCGAGCTCCGCCGTCTCGCGTCTGTGATTGGTCCGCAATTTGACATCTTGGTGACGACACTGACACCACGCGTAGCGGCGGCAACGCTTGAAATTATTGTCACTTCGTCATTTACTATTGGAAAACTTATTTTTAGACTTTATGCGAGTAAAATCTCGTAGTAACTTAGATACATCAAATGATAGCATTAGGTTGTCTAAGATTTCTTTGATCTGAGTTGTTGTGTAACTCTTTCTATTCTTGAGTTTAATATGTTTTTTGAAATAGGTATATGATTGAATACAATACATTCAACCTATGTCCTAAGATATTTCTTGAGAAATACCACTGAACTTGTATTATTATTATGTATGTCAATGATATAATTATTGAATATTTTATGTTTGAAAAAATAAAGAGTTTAATCAGTGTGGAATTTAAAAATCCTTCCTTATCTGTTAATTATTATATTTAAAATCATAATAATAATTGCTGTTTATGAATCAGTATTTTTTGATAGTATGTGCAAAAAAAAATTTTAATAGCAGATGACTTCATAAACTGTTACTGGCTGGAGTTTAAAAACTAAAATACATGTAGAATATGTAACTAGACTGATGTCAATCTATATGTTAATGGAATAAATAAGATATATCCTAGAATAATGAACCTTATACTAACAACCTTAAAAAATATAATGTAATAACTAAAATATATTATTAAAAGGAGTACCTTGCCTAACAAGGTTCCGAAGATACTGGCAGCATTCCTCCTTTGAATAACTAGACTAATTCTTTGTCCGAGGTAGCTGCCAGCTCTTCGGTCTCCTGTGATATTGACTAATAAAACTTCATAAACTATCTCATGTTGAGTCGGTTTATTTATTTATTTATTTGCTATCATAAACAAAAGTGAACAATGTTATATATTTTCTTAGTTATAGTATATGAACCTGTAAGGGTATTGCAAAATTAAGATGATAAAATTATATAATAATAATTAAGTATTCATTGAACTTAATGCATATTTCATTATTATTAACATTTCTATAAAAATCTCAGTTATTGCATTGTGCCAATATATTAAATTATTTTAATTAAAAAGTTAATAGTTTAGATTTGAACAGATAGTAAGTACTTGCTTTATTATTGCATTACAAATCATCTACTGAAAAGTAAAATTTTTGTAACAAGTATGATTTTCATAGATGACATTGATGTGTAGGAAAAGAAATTGAATGCGAACTTGACAAACTGCTTTTGCGAACCAACCTTGTAGTTTTTCGATATATTTGTCTTACTTATTTGCTTGTAACAGCCTATGCTGAATGGACCATATTGAATTCAGATATAGCAGCACAAATTTTTACCATACCTTAACATTTGTTTATAAACTGAAACCCCAGGTTATATACTTATAACACAAAGCTTACAAAAAAACTTATTATATAATATATATCTGTAATCTAAATGATGTAATGGAAGGTGACTTCAGTCTTATATATTATATAATTTTTGAATTTTTTAACATATTTTGACATATCTGTATATTATAATACAGAGAGAGAAAAACAGTGTTTGCTGAGTTTCTTGCTGGTTCTTCTCAGTACAGTCTCACGACGTAGATTTGCGAACCGATGGCGTAGTTTCTCGACCTTCACAAGTGCTTGTAACAGCCTAGACCAAGCCTAGATTTTTGCTTTCACATTTTGGCGCATTCAGAAGCCATGGCTATCGGTAGCCCCTTCGGCCATCTACGAAACCTAAACTATCGTTTCGTAGACGGCCAAAGGGCCGATGGCGTAGCTTCTCGACCTTCACAAGTCTAAAATTTAAATCTATGTATAAAAAACAATTTTATATTTAAAAACCTTCAAAATACAGTATGAATATATAAGTATATATTATATTTATGTCTTTTATGCACACACACACGCATATACACGCACACACACACACACACACGCACGCATACACACACACACACAACACACACACACTCATGCATAAACATTCCGCTTGGTTTAAATTGTATTTTTGGGTAATTTAGAAGTGTTTTGATTAGCGTGAGTTGCACCAACTTATTTTAACGTAAATTTCCATTTAACTTAAACTAGCTCTGTGGTGTAACTCACACTATAATATATTTAATCTTAATAAAATGAATGACCTTACCATAATGTAACACATGCTATGGAAGATTGGTTCTTTTTGATACAGGTGTCTTACACTTAAAAAAAAGAGCTTACCTTTATCTATGTAACCAGATGTATGGTAAAGAAATAAAACAATTTTGAATTTGAATTTTGAACAAGTGCTTGTGCTTGTTTGTGTGCAACATTTGATTTTGATTTTTTTAAAATAATTTTTAATTCCGCAGGCATCCCAATACACTGACCTATCATGGGACCGCTTAGCCGCCGTATGCGAGAGCGCTTTGCGACTCGCTCGCACCGCGGCTCTCGCTCCCACTGTACCCCAAACACCTGCCATTACCCCCTCCCCCGTCAACGGGGAACAGTCTCCCACTACCCCGGCTCCCAGCCTCCCGGCTCCCTCATCGCCCGAGGCTGCCCAGCAAGATGTGGCCTCTAAAATAGCGGCCCGTTTGTCCCTCCTGAGTGAGTCACTGGTGCGACCCAACCCTAAATATGCTTGGTACAAACAAAACCATTCATTGGGTGAGTAGAGTATAATTTCATTTCATATATTTAATGGGTTAATTGTTTATTTACACGATTACACTTTAAAAGTATCTGTAGTCGTTTTTAGTGTTCCGTAGTCCTGACTGGACACACACAGTCTTGGGAGGAGCTCGATGGCGCAAGTGGTTAGCGCGTTCGGTTGCGATCGTTGAAGTTAAGCAACTTTCGCAGTGGTCGGTCATTGGATGGGTGACCAAAAATTTACTATCTCGAGCTCCGAAGCAGATTTCGGAACGTGCCTTCCGAAATCTGCTTCGGAAGGCACGTTAAGCCGTTGGTCCCGGCTGCATCTGCAGTCGTTAGCACCCACCAATCCGCACTGGGCCCGCGTGGTGGGTCATGGCCTAATCTCCCCATTCCATCCATAGGGAAGGCCTGTGCCCCAGCAGTGGGGACATTAATAGGCTGATGATGAGTCCTGACAAGGAACCCTTATAGTTTCGTCATGTCTGTCCCCGCTTTTGCTTAGAGACTGTTAGCATTAGAGAGTTCTAATTTTGTAGAGATATGTATATCAATCACGCTGACAAAATGGTAGAATAAGACTTCGTGCGGGGCGGGGGCGGGGCGGGCCGTCATGTCCCCGAGACTGCTCACCAGCTTGCAGCTGCAGCGTCGTACTATGGGCCACTTATATGGTGTCTAATGCCGCGTGTAATGTTTATAATGACTGTGGCCAGTGCGTCGCCTAGCGGCCCGCGAGCTAGGCGGGGCGGTGCTAGGGTCGGGCGCGGGCCCTTCGTGCGGGGCGGGGGCGGGGCGGGCCGTCATGTCCCCGAGACTGCTCACCAGCTTGCAGCTGCAGCGTCGTACTATGGGCCACTTATATGGTGTCTAATGCCGCGTGTAATGTTTATAATGACTGTGGCCAGTGCGTCGCCTAGCGGCCCGCGAGCTAGGCGGGGCGGTGCTAGGGTCGGGCGCGGGCCCTTCGTGCGGGGCGGGGGCGGGGCGGGCCGTCATGTCCCCGAGACTGCTCACCAGCTTGCAGCTGCAGCGTCGTACTATGGGCCACTTATATGGTGTCTAATGCCGCGTGTAATGTTTATAATGACTGTGGCCAGTGCGTCGCCTAGCGGCCCGCGAGCTAGGCGGGGCGGTGCTAGGGTCGGGCGCGGGCCCTTCGTGCGGGGCGGGGGCGGGGCGGGCCGTCATGTCCCCGAGACTGCTCACCAGCTTGCAGCTGCAGCGTCGTACTATGGGCCACTTATATGGTGTCTAATGCCGCGTGTAATGTTTATAATGACTGTGGCCAGTGCGTCGCCTAGCGGCCCGCGAGCTAGGCGGGGCGGTGCTAGGGTCGGGCGCGGGCCCTTCGTGCGGGGCGGGGGCGGGGCGGGCCGTCATGTCCCCGAGACTGCTCACCAGCTTGCAGCTGCAGCGTCGTACTATGGGCCACTTATATGGTGTCTAATGCCGCGTGTAATGTTTATAATGACTGTGGCCAGTGCGTCGCCTAGCGGCCCGCGAGCTAGGCGGGGCGGTGCTAGGGTCGGGCGCGGGCCCTTCGTGCGGGGCGGGGGCGGGGCGGGCCGTCATGTCCCCGAGACTGCTCACCAGCTTGCAGCTGCAGCGTCGTACTATGGGCCACTTATATGGTGTCTAATGCCGCGTGTAATGTTTATAATGACTGTGGCCAGTGCGTCGCCTAGCGGCCCGCGAGCTAGGCGGGGCGGTGCTAGGGTCGGGCGCGGGCCCTTCGTGCGGGGCGGGGGCGGGGCGGGCCGTCATGTCCCCGAGACTGCTCACCAGCTTGCAGCTGCAGCGTCGTACTATGGGCCACTTATATGGTGTCTAATGCCGCGTGTAATGTTTATAATGACTGTGGCCAGTGCGTCGCCTAGCGGCCCGCGAGCTAGGCGGGGCGGTGCTAGGGTCGGGCGCGGACCCTTCGTGCGGGGCGGGGGCGGGGCGGGCCGTCATGTCCCCGAGACTGCTCACCAGCTTGCAGCTGCAGCGTCGTACTATGGGCCACTTATATGGTGTCTAATGCCGCGTGTAATGTTTATAATGACTGTGGCCAGTGCGTCGCCTAGCGGCCCGCGAGCTAGGCGGGGCGGTGCTAGGGTCGGGCGCGGGCCCTTCGTGCGGGGCGGGGGCGGGGCGGGCCGTCATGTCCCCGAGACTGCTCACCAGCTTGCAGCTGCAGCGTCGTACTATGGGCCACTTATATGGTGTCTAATGCCGCGTGTAATGTTTATAATGACTGTGGCCAGTGCGTCGCCTAGCGGCCCGCGAGCTAGGCGGGGCGGTGCTAGGGTCGGGCGCGGGCCCTTCGTGCGGGGCGGGGGCGGGGCGGGCCGTCATGTCCCCGAGACTGCTCACCAGCTTGCAGCTGCAGCGTCGTACTATGGGCCACTTATATGGTGTCTAATGCCGCGTGTAATGTTTATAATGACTGTGGCCAGTGCGTCGCCTAGCGGCCCGCGAGCTAGGCGGGGCGGTGCTAGGGTCGGGCGCGGGCCCTTCGTGCGGGGCGGGGGCGGGGCGGGCCGTCATGTCCCCGAGACTGCTCACCAGCTTGCAGCTGCAGCGTCGTACTATGGGCCACTTATATGGTGTCTAATGCCGCGTGTAATGTTTATAATGACTGTGGCCAGTGCGTCGCCTAGCGGCCCGCGAGCTAGGCGGGGCGGTGCTAGGGTCGGGCGCGGGCCCTTCGTGCGGGGCGGGGGCGGGGCGGGCCGTCATGTCCCCGAGACTGCTCACCAGCTTGCAGCTGCAGCGTCGTACTATGGGCCACTTATATGGTGTCTAATGCCGCGTGTAATGTTTATAATGACTGTGGCCAGTGCGTCGCCTAGCGGCCCGCGAGCTAGGCGGGGCGGTGCTAGGGTCGGGCGCGGGCCCTTCGTGCGGGGCGGGGGCGGGGCGGGCCGTCATGTCCCCGAGACTGCTCACCAGCTTGCAGCTGCAGCGTCGCACGCTGGGGCATCTGTCTGCAGTGTACTGCCTAGTGTTCGACTGCACTGGACGATACGTGGTTACGGTCAGTGGTACACCATTCTGATTTGTATAATAGTTGTCTTTATTTTACTTAACAATTTGTTCTGAAAGCAAAAATGTGAAAATACTTTGCCGTGCCATCTTCGAGGATCCGGGTTCGTTCCCTGGTTTATAGTAAAAAAGTAACTTTGTTGACTCAGTGGTTATGATGGTTTTCTTTTTAATTTTCGTTTCTATAAAACTTGAAATTCTTTGTACTTGTATTTATAACATTCGTATTAAAACTGTTGAAAATAACTGCGTCTCTGAATACGTTTCCACGTCTAGATGTTTAATATTTTTTTTATAAATTTCCATAAAGGCAAGGTTGGACTTGAATTTAGTTTTATTCAGTCGCGAGCACCTGTTAATATCATCATATCTTTTGAAATTATCACTTGAAGAAAGTGTTGTATTTGTATAATTGATGATTTCTTTAAATGCTACTTTTATTCCAACATCTTATAAATTGAGAGTCGAAATATACTGGAAAAATGATATCGCGTTCTACAATCATCGTTGATATTGTAGGGCGCTGACGATCTCCTAGTCAAAGTATGGAGCGCAGTCGACGGTCGATTGCTATCGACGTTACGCGGCGCCGGCGCCGAGATCACAGACGTATGCGTGTCGTCAGACGGTGCCCTACTAGCCGCCGGATCCGTCGAGCGACTCGTGCGCGTTTGGTGAGTACCCACACTACACTACACTATACCCGCACTCACTATACTTCACCACAACCACACTAAATACAGTAACTACAACTACGCTGAATAGCGACTCGTGCGCGTTTGGTGAGTATCCACACTACACTACACTATACCCGTACTGACTATACTTCACCACAACCACACTGAATACACTTTACTACAACCACGCTGAATAGCGACTCGTGCGCGTCTAGTGAGTACTTACACTGCACTATACCCGTACTGATTATACTTCAACAAAACCACACTGAATACACTTACTACAACCACGCTGAATAGCGACTCGTGCGCGTCTGGTGAGTGCCCACACTACACTACATTATACCCTCACTGACTATACTTCACCACAACCACACTGAATACACTTTACTACAACCACGCTGAATAGCGACTCGTGCGCGTCTGGTGAGTGCCCACACTACACTACATTATACCCTCACTGACTATACTTCACCACAACCACACTGAATACACTTTACTACAACCACGCTGAATAGCGACTCGTGCGCGTCTGGTGAGTGCCCACACTACACTACATTATACCCTCACTGACTATACTTCACCACAACCACACTGAATACACTTTACTACAACCACGCTGAATAGCGACTCGTGCGCGTCTGGTGAGTGCCCACACTACACTACATTATACCCTCACTGACTATACTTCACCACAACCACACTGAATACACTCACTACAACCACGCTGAATAAATAATAAATAAATATTTCCGACACACACAATTAGCCTAGCCCTAAAGTAAGCACTGTAAGGCCTCTGTTATGGGATGCTAGGGTAACGGATAGAATACATATACAATACATATATAAGTGTATTTATATAGAAATACATATTAAACATCCATGACTGGAGTACAAATGCTCGTATTCATCACACTAACATCTGCCCCCACCGGGATTCGAACCCGGGACCTCTCGAGTCGGCGACACCATGAAACCCGGCGTACAAACCACTCGACCACGGAGGTCGTCAAATAGTGACAATAGTGACTCATGCGCGTTAAACATAAGTTTGTTTTAATTCTGTGAACTGAATGAGTTAATTTTTTTTTTTATATTTAGGTAGGCAAATGACTCTATCCCACCTGATGTTAAGCGGTAATAAAGTCCAAACGCGAAGATAGCTGGTACACCAGTTATAAACTACTTCACCAATCATCCTCACCTTGCCGGCCTGCAAAAATGCTTCTTCACGCCTCTCTCGAAGGGCCCCGGGTTATAGGAAGAATTTGTAATTGATGGGTTGATGTAGGTGTTTAGCTACGGGCGCTCCCAGGGCGGTGCTATCGATCCACGCGGGCACTATAACCGCCGTCCACTGGTCGCCCGGAGTACTCGGGGACGTGCGCTGGCTCGCCTCCACGTCGACCGACGGGTCCGTGGCCTTCTGGACGGCCGCCAGGGACGGGCAGGTGTCCTCGAGGCCGGTGCAGTACATGGAGAGGACGAGGCCTGGCGCCTGCCACATGATCTGTGCCGCCTGGGCTCCGGGAGGCACGCTCTTGGCGGCCGGAAGCGCTGATCATCATGTTAGGGTCAGTCGAATACACAGGAAAACACACTACACTACATAAATAGATATCGAGTTTGTTTGTATTGTATAAAGACACATATTATGTAAATTAAAAATAAATAAAAGTAATAATTATACTATACGCATACATAATATAAATTTATCAGAATGTCAATAAATAAAAAAAAAAGAAATTAAGTTTATGCTTCACATATCCGATGCATCTTTGCTTTTGAATTAGTCAACATCAAACAACACAAGATTTATTAATTTTTTAATCATCAATGATATCCAATATCAAATACCCTATTTGATATTAATAGCTTATGAATTGAAGATCACGATTTTTATTTATTCTTTAACTACCTTTGGAGAAGTAGGAATGAAATAATATAGACGTAACTCAAGGTTGCACTATGGACCCTCTTATATACAGTTAAAATAACGCAAGACCTATCAGGCCTATGTTCTATAATCGGTATACCTCAAGGTTACACTATGGGCTCTCTTTTACATAGTAAGAATACCCCAAGGTGTTATCATGGGCCCCGTTTTCTTTAATCGGTATACTTCCAGGTCGCACTATGGGCCCTCGTTAACACAATTAGAACACACCAAGGTGGTATAATAAGTACCATTTGCTACAGTATCTGTACTTATTTGTGGGCAGATATATATGGTGGAAGGTGCCGGGGCGGGGGGTCCGAGGCGAGTGTTAGAAGCAGCAGTGCACAGTGACGCGGTAGATTCCGTGTCGTGGGCCCACTCGGGACTGCGACTGGTTTCGGGCTCTAAGGACGGCACGGCGGCGCTTTGGACCTTACACGCGACGCAGTGGCGCCACAAGCTGCTGCAGCCGCATCCGCACCCGACGCATGCTAGTACTACGCATAAAAGGCTCAAGGTAATGTTCAATTCAATTCTACATATTTATTTGCATTCATCATCATCATCAGCCTATTAATATCCCCACTGCTGGGGCACAAGCCTTCCCTATGGATGTAATAGGGAGATTGGGCCATGACCCACCACGCGGGCCCAGTGCGGATTGGTGGGTGTTAACGACTGCAGATGCAGCCGGGACCAACGGCTTAACTTGCTTTCCGAAGCGCGGAGGAACTCGAGATAGATGTTTTTTTTGGACACCCATCCAATGACCGACCACTGCGAAAGTTGCTTAACTTCAACCATCGCAGCCGAACACGCAGGTGCGCCATGGAGCTCCCATATTGTTTGCATTAAATAGGGTACAAATAATGGTGTTACATTTCATCTAAATTGTATCTTAACCTGTTAAGTCATAAAAACGATTACTATATTGTTTTAAAACAATTGGTTTTTATTAAGCATTTTGATGGTTTTGTATTTTATTTTGTAGTGAAAATTAGTTGCTTATTTACAAGGTTAAAATTTTGATGATAAATAAGTGATGTTTGGTTTTTGTGATAATTGTTGCGATATCGTATGGTGAGGCTTTTTGATAAAGTTTGAGTTAAATACCTGAATATTAGAATTTCTTTCTGATTTAAGTGGATAATAAACATTTTTGCACTATTCAATATTCGCCTGCTTTGTTCACAATTTATTTGGGATTAACTCAAAATTATCTTTACTCGTCCATTCTTTGCTTATAAATTTTTATCAGATATACTCCTTTTTTGTGAAAAAAAAAGGTTTCTATATGTCGACTTGACCAATCTTAGGAGCAATTTCAACGCGCATATTTTAGGTATACATTTAATATTATTAAATTTCTTTTACAAATAAAAAAGAAAGTGTCCCAAATTAAGTACCACCGTGGCCCCAGGTCCGAACCTTAGTAATTTAAATACCTTAAATATTACACTTTTTAACAAGGAAAATACCTTGTTGGTTGATTATATTCCTTGTTCATTGTCCGCAGGTGACGATGGTGTGTTGGGACAGAAGTGACGAGTTTGTGATGACCGCTGTCTCCGATAACACCATACGGGTGAGATGCACACATTTTGTTTTCAATACAAAATAAATAAATGTTTCCAACACTCACACCAATTAGCCTAGCCCCAAAGTAAGCACTATAAGGCTTGTGTTATGGGATACTAAGGTAACGGATAGAATACATACACTGTACATATATAAGTATATTTTTATTTAGAAATACATATGAAACATCTATGACTGGAGTACAAATGCTCGTATTCATCACACAAACATCTGCCCCCACCGGGATTCGAACCCGGGACCTCTCGAGTCGGCGACACCATGAAACCCGGCGTAAAAACCACTCGACCACGGAGATCGTCAAAATACAGCTTATGACTTCACCTCTTAGAATGTAAAGTATTAGTCCAGTTGCGACGATAGCTTAGCCAACTACAATCACTTAAATTACAATAGGATATTTTTGTTTTTTATAACTAGGTAGGCAAATGACTCTACCCCACCTGATGTTAAGTGGTGATAGAGTCCAAACGCGAAGATAGCTGGTGCAGCAGTTATAAACTGACACACCAACCATCCTCACCTTGCCGGCCTGCAACAATGCTTCTTCACGCCACTCTTCAAATGATACAATGTAATGTCACTTTAACCGGAAGCTTACTTGCGTGAGACGTCATTTTAGACTCCGCCAATCCCAAGCGTTTTGGGTTAAGTGGCAATAGATAAGAAAACTATTATCTTTTTCGTGTTGTTTTTAGTAAAATTATGAACATTTTTTTGTAAAAATAGTAAAAACCCCTGTTTCATTCTAAACACAGATGCTAACAATTGGCACTTTATTTTTAATACTGTCAAATACCCTATTTTCAATCAAAATCGCCTAAAACAGTGTTAAAATTACTAAATTTATAAATTTAAAATCATGCCAATAGCTCACTGGAGGTATGTCATTTAGTTTTATACTGCTTCTGTAAAATTTAATTTTAAATAAAACTAGTTTTTACGGGTTAATGCACGAAACTTTATTTATTTATGACGTTTCGTAGCCTTCACAGGCTACGTCAAATAAAAGTTTTATTCTGACGACGAAGCCTGTAAAGGCTACGAAACGTCATAAATAAAGTTTCGTGCATTAACCCGTAAAAACTAGTTTTATTTAATGACTGATGTGCGTGAAAACCTAAGAAACAAATTTAATTTTATGTAATTATACCGTTTCGTTCGCCAGCTAATAAATAACACCGTTATAATATAATAGAGGGAAATATCAACAGAGATGGGTCCGTTACGGTTTAAAATATTAGTTTCCACAAAAACCGCATTTCGACAAAAGTGTCGCTTACGATAATTTGGCGGTAAGGGCTCGATATTGTTTAAAGCACTTTCCATGCGTTAGGTATGGTGCGCCCGCACTTGCGTCCAAATATCCGTCTTACGCGGCCATAGAGACGAGGCCTACGTCCTGGAGGCGCACCCCTTCCTGGGGGGGGTGCTGCTGTCGGCCGGACACGACGGACAACTGTTCGTGTGGCACGCATTGGAGACCAAGCCTCTGGCCGCCTTCCACAACCGAATCGACGGACAGGTGAGTCACCGGTGGATACTTTATAGGATACTAGTGATCCGCCCTCGCTTCGCTTCGGTGTAGAGCTGTAGTGGTAACTATACTTTTTGTTCTCAGGCTTGTGCTAAAAGAATGACTTTATTTATATAATTACACATGTTATTGTGAGTCAACCATAAAAGATAGACATATGCTGTTGCGGGATATTTTTTAGACAATTTTATCCTTACACGCCTGAATAGCTCGCAGATTGCAGAA